AAAAAGGTTAGACCAAATCGAATCCTTAATAGCTAAACTTGTCAAGGAATCCAAATCCAGAAGTGGACGAATTCATATGGCTATAGCAGATGAACAGTCTAATCCCATTTTTTCTGATGATGACACATCTAAACCTGAGGACAATGATTATAACTCTGATAGTTCATCAGCTGGTTCAGACTCCGGAAAACGTGATATGAATGTTTATATAACTCATGGAAAAAAAAAGTGAACTATGCTGAGCAGAGTGGTCGTTCCAATAAGTCCTCAAAGTTTAAGGTCTCTAATAAATCTGAGCTTCGTAAGGTAAAGCAAGATATTAATACATCTTCTACACATAATCCCTCATCGGAAAAAGGTAGCCAAGGTAAACGGGTGTCTCTGGAAGAAACTATTCGCAAAATCATTCAGAGTGTATTTGAGAATTATCTCCCATATATAATTCAGCAAGTTAAGAAGCGTGAACCTGCCTTAGCTCAACACCAAGCCGAAAAAGATTCAGATGATGAGTTCATCGATGGTCCTATGGAGATAGATTTTGTCCAAAGAAAAGAACCTGCCACAGATGTTGTCACTGTTAAATGTAAAATTAAGCGTCTAGTGATTCCGGCAGGTACAGTTGATCCTGGTGCCAATTTCGCAATTATGTCTGAGGATATAGCCAAACGATTAAAGTTAGAAATTGATACAAAAGAAAAACATGATCTCAGAGGCATTGCTACTACCCCCACAGAGTCGCTTGGAATTGTTAGAAATGTCCTAGTAAATTTCGCTCCCAGTTGTACTATATATGCTGATTTTGCTGTAGTCAAGTATCCTAAGCTGATGTTGATCTTACCCAACACACTTCTCGATAAATATAATTATGATTTACTTGCATGAAAGTGGGAATTGAGACTAAAGTGTAATGGTAAAGAATTTTTTATTCCAATTAATATGCATAAGATCAAGAATAAGCTTGAGGTGAATTGCGCGAACATTACTCTTGAATGTGATGATCTGTCAACTCTGAACAGAGTTTCTTGGGATTCGCTGAGCTCGCAAAATTTAAGTGAGAATAATAATGTATTAAAAAAATGAGTTATGAGGAGCTCGAAAAAAAGTTATATAGCACTCTTAAGTTTAAAGAGAATCTTAACGAATTGTGCGAGAAATTATTAGTACGCTATGATGAACTAAATGGAGAATATCTTCTACACAGCTAGACGCCTATTCATTTCTGCTCTATTTATTTCCTCTCTTCTAGCTTCTTTCTCATAAAATGCACCTAACTCCTCATCATTTATATTTAAACCTTCTGAATTCATTGGTGCTAGAGTCAAAATAACAGGCGACTCAGAGAGGCGAACGGTTTAGACTTGGTTTTTTTCCTCCAGTTTTTTTTACCTTACTCCTAGAAATAACATTGCATTTCACAGGATTCGCTTGCTGATATGAACCAGGTTCTTCTGATAGTGATTTTATATCTTTAGGGTCTATTAGTGGGTGAGCTCCTCTCCAAATTTGATACACCCGCCATGTTGATATTTTGTATTTACTAACCATAACTTCTAATGCCCGATTCGTTGAATTTTTAGCTTTAATAATATCCTGGATATCTTTGGCAGATAGGGGGGTCGCATCTGAACATAAATACTGAAGCATTTTTTACAAATAGATAAAAAAATCTTTCGAAAAATTACCGGTATATTTTCGATAAATTTTTGGTATATATTCGGTAATATCAATATATTTTTGGTTCATTCGATATATTCAGTTCATTCAATTTATTCGATTCTTTCGGTGTATTCGATGTATTTAGTCTAAAAATTTACTAAGTAAAAAATTTCCAATCGCATGTTTTATATTATACTAGCAACTAAGCCGAAAAAAAGTCTATGACAAATGTATATACCTTGAACAATATTAATAATAAAGATGATGGTTCCTTCAGGGTGGCGGGTAAACGACTTGGTAGTGCATATGAGCAAGAGCTTAAAGAAAAATTATATTCCGCTCTTAGATCTAAAGCTGAAATTAATGATCTTAGTGAGAAGTTGCTAGCTAAGTATTCAGAACGAGAGGAGGAATTTCAACGAACCTATTCTGACATTAACGATAAGATTAGCCGTTTAAATGCATCCAGTACTAAGGTTAGATTCCAACTTATTTCTGAACAGAAGTCTCATTCTGAGGGTCAACGTGAGCTCAAAGCCAAATATACTACCGAAATCAAATCTCTCAAATCAAATATTAAAACATTAAAGAGAGAGGTAACTTTGGCCCAGAAAGCTTCATCTTATGATAAAACTGCAATTCTTTCTCTTTAAGCTAAAATACGTGAATTGGAAGCTATGTTGGAGGACAAAGAGCTTGAATTGGAGTGAACGAATGGGGACCTTAATTCAAAAAAACATGAAATAGGATGTATGGAAAAAGGAATCCCTATAAATAATCAGTATAAGGAAAGTATACGGAAATAATACGTTTAAAAAACGTATAAAAAACGTAGAAAAAC